GTGAGTTCCCGATCCCCATTGTCTCAGTGTATGGGTGCACCCTCGCGGTCCTAAGTTCCTTGCTTGTGCTCTCTCTCCTTCTGCTCCTGATTTGGACCTTGAGATTTCAGTCCGGTGCTCCAATGTGGTTCTCTGTCTCTGTTTCCTTTCATCCCGGGCAAAACTGGATGTCAATCTCTTAAGATATCTTAATAAGTGATCTGTGAGCCACATAGGAAAGGAGCTATAAGTAGTCCTATCCAGAAACCCTGTAAGCCAGGACAAGGACCAGACCTCCATGAAATCCCCAATGCTGCAATGGTGGCAATTTTATCTTGGGGTCAACCACCAGCTTTTTAATTGAACTTATGGTCTACTACATAGGAGAGAATTTATGTCTGGTACTGTAAACCTGGCCAGCTAACCATGGTTGGAGGGAATCATGGGCCCTACCAGAGAACTTGTAGCTGCCACTTGCCTAAGCCAGTATAATTTCTAACTGTGCTCTAAATCGTTACTCTTAGAGCCACAGAGAAGTGTAGCGCTCTCTCCCTCTCTCTCCCCCCCCTTTCTCTCTCTCTCTCTTACTAAAGAAGTCTCTTTTTCCAACCGATGGAGACTATTTCAGAGATCCTCAACTTTTAATAATATAAAGAAATAGTGACTCTGCAACATAACCCTTACTTTAAGGCTCAGGGAAAATCACAGAAGAAGGAGCAGAAAGCTTTGAAGAGACAGAAGACCAGGATGCCTGCTACTGGATAGTACGCTAAGACATGACCAGGAAAATGCAGCCATAAAATATCAACAATATCATTTGGTGAACAAGATCAGCATATGACAACATCAGTTTACATGCCAACATGTACAGAGGAAATGGGTCCCACTCATAGATTTAAAAAAATAAAAACACAGGTGTTCAATGGCTGCTGAGAGAAGAAGAATCAGTTTTATCCAGGGACTAGGAACCACTTCCTATATAGGTTCTCCAATCCCCAGGAGGTCAGCGCTAGACACATGCACAAGTGTATTCAGTGGCTGTGTGTATATGTGTGTGTATGTGTGTGTGCGTGCAAACAATAAAAAAGAAAAGGTCATGAATTCATGAATTTGGAAGGAAATGGAAGTCATGAGAAGGGAGGAGGTAAGGGGAACAGGGAGAGACAGCAGTGATATAGAGGCAGTGCTCTCATATAAAGAAATCAAAAGGTTTTAAACATCAGCAAGAAACTTTTAATCTTAGTCATTGATGAGGCCGCTATCACTAAAGTGACTTTTGTCTTGAGACGGAAACCTGGCCCATCAGCATCTGCAGTTGTTCACAGTCCTTCCCCAGCCACGAATAGTTCTGAATTTTTGGAGCTTTTCACACTCATGTATAGTGGTTTTATATTTTAGATTTAGCATTTTAACAGTTTTATATGTATGGTTCTTGGCATTAAGTTCAGAAGAACTTAAGTTCTCTTTTCCATGGGTTGAAGGTGAAGTTCAAGATGCCTGCTATTAGAGATACTGAGCACTATGTATCCCGTGATTTTTCTTGTACACAAATAGCTACCATATTTTAAGTTATAAATGAGACACACTTAGACAGTAGGTTAGGTTAGCTACACACAATAAAATAGTTACAACAATATCCTGTAATAAAAGTTGGTCTTTTTTATTTCATTCATTATTCTTGCACTATAATAGGTGAGGTGCAACTTCACACAGGAAGGGACCCTGTACATGCACAAGATCAGCAATCTCCAGAACTTTGATTTTTCCCTAGTAAACCCTGTACCAACTCAACACTAATTCCCCACTATGAATTTGACAGTAGATACATCATATAAGTGGAACCATATTTTACCTTCTGGTTAATCCCCACTTAGGTCCATAAACATGCTTCTTCAGTTTCCCTGTATTTCAAAAGAAATTTTAAAAATTGTAATGGAAAAAAGGACTTATTTTCTGCTTGGACAAGTCTGGGGGTGGGGTTATCTAACTTTCCTCCCAGCGTGCCTTTGGACAGCTTTCAGTTTGCAGAAAGCCAGGAGCCTGAGATTAGCATACACGTAAACACATCTGTGAAACAGGGAACCTAAGTTGTCTGTTGTCCCTGTTACAGAGATATACTTTTACCCAGTTTTAGGAAAGAAACAGAAAGGCATCTCGGGGATTTTGTTTGGGGCCTAAGAATTCTTTATCCCTAGGACCATCTCTGCACTAGGTCTCTCTCTGTTCTAGGTCATCTTTGTTCTAGGTCATCTCTGTATTAGGTCCAGATTTCTGTGCTAGGTTCATCATCTCTGTGCTAGGTCTGTCTCTGTATCATGTCCATCATCTCTGTGCTAGGTCTGTCTCTGTATCATGTCCATCATCCCTATACTAGGTCCATCTCTCTCTGTACTAAGCCCATCTCTGTATTAAGCCACTATCTGTCTATACTAGATCTATCTCTGTGATAGGTCTATCTCTGTACTGGGTCCATCTCTGTAATAGGCCTATCTCTGCGCTAGGTCTGTCTCTGTGCAAAGTGTAGAGCAGAAGTGTATCTTTTCTTTGAAAGTCAGCTTCAAGCTCTGAATCTTAAGTGCCTGTTAAAGACATTCATTTTGCAGATGAGAAACAGGTCTGATAGTGAATTGAGAGGCAGAACTGGTTCCCTTTGCATTATGTTTTCCAAACTGTGGCATCATCATGAGGACATAGACATACTTTCTTCCTTCAGTTTTTCACTTAAAGCCAATGTGTCTTGTATTATAACCCTTAAAAGCCAGCATTACACGGAGTGGCTATACCACATTTTGTTTAACCACTCATCTGTCACTGAACATTGCTCCTTTTGACTTTTCTGAATGATGTCACTGTGAACACTGATACATAGGTACTTGGCTAAGTCCCTGCTCTCAGTTCTCTCTCTCTCTCTCTCTCTCTCTCTCTCTCTCTCTCTCTCTCTCTCTCTCTCTCTCTCGTATGTGATCACTGGATCATTGGATCACACTGTGTCACTTGCTGTTTTCACAATAACTGGCAGCTCATTTAAAAATCTTAATCATTATATTATTTTATACTATTTACTCATTCTTTTTTCATTTTCCAAAGTTTTAAGTTTACTCTTAAAATGTGATTCTTAAAACCAGGAACCACCTTCTGTCTGTTGTGGCATGTAGGACAGGGTACAATTTATCTACTTTTTTCTTACACATAGACATTGTTTTTATGTATGAAAGTATTCACCTATATTTTTTCCAGTTTTAAATAAACTTTCCCCATCTCCCACTCACATTTCACATTTAAATTCACTTATGTACTTTTGGTAAACTATATTTTCAAATGTCTTATTTGCTATTGTTGATGATGCTGCCGGTGTTGCTGCTAGTTTGTGTGTGTGTGTGTGTGTGTGTGTGTGTGTGTGTGTGAGAGAGAGAGAGAGAGAGAGAGAGAGAGAGAGAGAGAGAGAGAGAATTAAATTAAAAAGAAACCTTTCTGCAAAAGTAATCCAGAAGAGTTTCTTGTTAATGATCACACAACTTGGAGAAGAATCACACTGGTTGATAGAATTTGCTTAAAATTCCTTTATTAGACAATAACTCTGATTTCAAGGTTCTTCCTTATATTAGGCTTTATTAAGCCTAAACTGAAATGAAAATGATTACACAGACATTTAGGAGCCTAAATTTCCAGGGAAATGCTTGTTTGTAACTGCCATAAACACCTACCATCAAACACTGGTGTTGCCAGCAGTGTGAAACAATGCAACTGTGACTTGCCCTCTTGTCTGCACTCGTGAAGTCTCGACTCTGACACCACAGTCATTTAGATCACACGACTGCTATCTTCTTTCATTCTAACTGTGATGGAATCTATTTCTATTTGGCTCCAGAATGAATAATTTGCCTTCTGTTAGTGGATAATGTAACTTTGGCATCATCTTCCTTTAGCTCTAAGGCCCAGAATATGAGAGACTTGAAAATGGCAACCAAGCATTAGATGCTTTTGATTTTGAACACACAAACTCATTGATGCAATATTTGAGTACTTACAGTTTTAAAGTGTGCTTCTGTTATGTGTCCATTTTGATCTTTTACAGTTAATAAATCTGAAGTGAACTGCCTTATAACGCTTTTCTATAACTTGGTGGGAGAAGTAGCAGAAAGGCCAGGGGTAGTCATTGGACTAGATCGTAATGCATTTCGGAACATCCTGCATGTGACATTTGGAATGACAGATGACATGATTATGGACAGAGGTAAGATACACATATGATGGGAACTGTCAAATTCAACTGTAATTAACAAAGGTCATGCTCTTTGGAGGAATCTTGTGTTTTACATTCCCAATTACATTTGAATGTATTATTTTTAGTGGCATATATATGTATATATATATATTTAACTATATATATTTTTATCTGTTCCCCTCCTTTTCTCCCCCCTCTCATTCTACCCTCTCCCATGGTCCCCATGTTCCCAAATTACGCAGGAGATGCATGTATATCTCCTTTGCTGTCAAGGTTCTCTGGAATTGTGATTGTAGGCAGTTTTTTTTGTTGTTGCTTTATGATAAAAGCAACTTATGAGTGAGTACATATGATAATTGTCTTTCTGGGTCTGGATTACCTCACTCAAGATGATGTTTTCTAGCTCCATCCATTTGCCTGCAAATTTCAAGATGTTGTTATTTCATTCTGCTGTGTAGTACTCCATTGTGTAAATGTACCACATTTTCCTTATCCATTCTTCAATTGAGGGACATTTAGGTTGTTTTCATGTTCTGCCTATGACAAACAAAGCAGCTGTGAACATAATTGAGCACATGTCCTTGTGGTATGATTGATCATCCTTTGGGTCTATACCCAAAAGTGGTATTGCTGGGTCTTAAGGTAAGTTGTTTCCTGATTTTCTGAGAAATTGCCACACTGACGTCCAAAGGGCTGTACCAGCTTGCATTCTCACTAGCAATGCAGAAGTGTTCCCTTTACCCCACAACCTCTCCAGCATAAGTTGTCATCAGTGTTTTTGATCTTGGCCATTCTTAAAGGTGTAAGATGGAATCTCAGAGTTGTTTTGATTTGCATTTTTCTGATGGCTAAAGATATTGAGCATTTACTTAAGTGTCTTTCAACCATTTTAGATTAGTGTGTTGATAGTTCTCTCTTTAGGTCTATACCCCATTTTTATTGAATTATTTGTTTTTGATGACAAATTTTTTTAGTTCTTTGTGTATTTAGATCAGCCCTCTGTCTCATGTGAGGTTGGTGACGATATCTTCCCATTATGTAGGGTGTTGTTTTGTCTTATTGACTATGTCCTTTGCTTTACAGAAGTATTTCAGTTTCAGGAGGTTCCATTTACTAATTGTTGCTCTCAGTTCCTGTGCTACTGGGGTTTTATATTTAGGAAGTGGTCTCCTGTGCCAGTGCATTCAAGTGTACTTCCCACTTTCTCTTCTATGAGATTTAGTGTGGTTGGTTTTATGCTGAGGTCTTTGTTCCATTTGGACTTGAGTTTTCTGCATGATGATAGATATGGATCTATTTTAATTTTTCTACATGTTGATATCCAGTTATGCCAGCATCATTTGCTGAATATGCTTTCCTTTTTACATTATATATTTTTTCCTGTTTTGTCAAAAATCAGGTATTCATAGGTATGTGGATTGATATCTGGGTCTTCGATTTGGTACCAATGTCCTCTTATCTGTTTTTTGCCAATACCAGATTGTTTTCAGTACTGTAGCTCTGTCATAGAGTTTGAAGTCAGGGATTGTGATGCCTCCAGAAGTTCCTTTATTGTACAGGACTGTTTGGCTATCTTGGACTTTTTTGTTTTCCATATGAAGTTGATTGTTCTTTCGAGGTCTGTGATGAATTTTGCTGGGATTTTAATGGGCATTGCATTGAGTCTATAGATTAATTTTGGTAAGATTGCCATTTTTACTATGTTAATTCTACCTAACCAAGAACATGGGAGATCTTTCCATTTTTTGGTGTCTTCTTCAATTTTTTTCTTAAAAGATTTAAAATTCTTGTCATACAGGTCTTCCAGTTGTTTGCTTAGAGTTACTCGAAGATATTTTATATTATTTGTGGCAATTGTGAAGGGTGATGTTTTTCTGATTTCTTTCTCAGCCCATTTATCATCTGTGTAAAGGAGGGCTACTGATTGTTTCGAGTTACTCTTGTATCCTGCTACACAACTGGAAGTGTTTATGAGTTGTAGAAGTTTCTTTGTAGAATTTTTGGGGCCCCTTATGTAAACTGTCATATCATCAGCAAATGGTGAGTATTTGACTTCTCTTCCGATTTGTATCCTCTTGATCTCCTTTTGTTGTCTTATTGTTCTAGCTAGAACCTCAAGTACTATGTTGAATAGCTATGGAGAGAGTGGTCAACCTTATCTTGTTCCTGATTTCAATGGGATCGCTTTGAGTTTCTTTCCATTTAGTTTGAAGTTGGCTGTTGGCTTGATGTATATTGCCTTTATTATGTTTAGGTATGTTCCTTATATCCCCCTGCTCCTTATATCCAAGACCTTATCATGAAGGGATGTTTTTGTATTTTCTCAAATGAGTTTTCAGCATCTAATGAGATGTGGTTTTTTTTTTTCAGTTTGTTTATATGGTGGATTTCATTGACAGATTTTTGTATGTTGAACCATACCTGCATTGCTGGGATAGAGCTGACTTGATCATGATGGATGACTTTTCTGATGTGTTCTTGGATTTGGCTTGCCAGTATTTCATTGAGTATTTTTGCATAAATGTTCAGGAGGGAGATTGGTCTGTAATTCTCTTTCTTAGTAATGTCTTTGTGTGGTTTTGGGTATCAGGGTAATTGTAGTCTCATAAAAAGAGTTTGACAATGTTCCTTCTGTTTTAATTTTGTGGAACAATTTGAGGAGTATTAATATTCTTCTTTGAAAATCTTGTAGAATTTGCCCTGAAACCATCTGGCCCTGGGCTTTTTTTGGGGGGGGGGATACTTTTGATGACTGCTTCTATTTCTTTAGCATTTATAGGCCTGATTATTTTGCTTATTTGGTCTTGATTTAATTTTGGCAAGTGATCCAGAAAATTGTCCATTTCCTTTAAGTTTTCCAGTTTTTGTGGAGTACAGGTTTTCAAAGTATGACCTGATGATTCTCTAAATTTCTTCCTTGTCTGTTGTTATGTCCCCCTTTTCATTTCTGATTTAGTTAATTTGAATTCTTTCTCTGCCTTTTGGTTAGTTGGATAAAGGTTTTTCTATTTTGTTGATTTTCTCTAAGAACCAACTCTTTGTCTCATTGATTCTTTGTATTGTTTTCTTTGTTTCTATTTTGTTGATTTCAGTTCTCAATTTGATTATTCCCCACTGTCTAGTCCTCCTGGGTGAGTTTGCTTCTCTCTGTTCTGGAGTTTTCAGGTGTTCTGTCAACTTACTAGTGTGGTTTTTTCCCAGCTTCTTTATGTAAACATTTATTGCTATGAACTTTCCTTCTAACAATAATTTCATGGTGTCCCATAAATTTGGGTATATTGTGTGGTCATTTTCATTGTATTTTAGGAAGACTTTCATTTTTTCCTTTATTTCTTTCTTAACCCATTGACTATTGGAGTCATTTGGGTGTATTTTAATCTTCCAAAATGTTTAGAGAAGGAATGAGTCTACTATTACTTTTATTGTTTAGAAAGAGAACATAACTAGTTTTCATACTTCATATAAAAAAGCCCCATTGTGTTCTATTTCTCCCTAAATTTTCTTACATGCTAGAGAATACTACATAATTTTTAAGATGCACACCTACCATGTAACAGCATTGCTTGCCTTGAGGAATAAAAACATAGAATTATTTCTATTAAGAAGCTTAAATCTCAAAAGCTGAAATATTAAATATAATATGACTATATTATTTCATCCAACACTAATGTTACATTGTGTCTTTTTTTTAGTATTTCGAGGTTTTGATAGAGACAATGATGGCTGTGTAAGTGTATCTGAGTGGATTCATGGATTATCACTGTTTCTTCGAGGGACTTTAGAAGAAAAAATGAAATGTAAGCCTGCGGATGAACTGCTAGTTTATACCTTACGATAAACATAGCAAAAGCTTTTTAAATCACCATCTCGAACCCACCAGTGGAGTGGGTTCTGGTAGGTTGGTGAATCCTCTCTGCCCTTTTATGGAGCAAATTAAGTCGATAAAGAATGTGATTATAGTAATTCAGAAGAAAATCAAACCATTAAGGAGCAGCATGAAAGGAAGCAGCCCAGATTGTAATCTCCATTCTAATCATGCACCGATACATTCACATTCTAGTTTACAATGCTCAACAACAAATATTAAACCAGAAAGCCTAATTTAAATTTTCTACTTTTAAAATAATTCTCAACTAATGGAGTCATACTTCATTTAATAAAGTTAACTTGAACAAACAATTGCTTTTCCATGTCTCCGGTCAGCAAAGCTCATATCATTTCTCCTAGGAGTTTCTTTTCACAGTCTGCTAAAGAAGCATGGAAAGAGGGGTGGGGATATTTCCCTAGTATACACCATCATTCCCATGAAAGTCAACTAGCATCAAGTTTGCAGCCCAGAAATGCAACAATAAGATATGCCTCCACCCTGACTGCTTTGTCAGAAGAAAATGGCACCTTAGTGATAATCTCAAATGTATAAACATACAATACAATACTATATATTATATATGTGATATATATACATATATATCAAATTTTTTAGATTGCTTTGAAGTGTTTGATCTGAATGGGGATGGCTTCATTTCAAAGGAGGAGATGTTCCACATGCTGAAGAACAGCCTTCTCAAGCAGCCCTCTGAAGAAGACCCTGATGAAGGGATCAAAGATTTGGTTGAAATTACGCTTAAGAAAATGGTAAGTATGAGTAACTTAAAAGTTTTATATTCAAGCTTATAGGCAATGTGTGGGATAGAAGTAAGAACTCAGTGATGATGATTTTGGAGCACTCTGCTTAGTTAAATAAAAGTTGGCTTCTTAGAAGAATATTCTCTTCGAGCTGCAGGAGTGGGACGGTGACAGAGCACTTGCCTAGCATGTGAGAGGCTCTTGATTCCGTGCTCAGTGACAACCTGTGCTCCACACACTACAAAGCTTTATTTTTTAATGTCCCACCCAAGTCTCTCGCTCTCCTCCTGCCCACTGACTGTGAAAAAGAGTGCACCTTTGCAGCAAAAGTGTCATGTGCTCACTGACCCAGGCTGCTTACCTCTCAGGACCAAGACCATGACGGGAAGCTGTCCTTTACAGACTATGAGAACGCCGTGAGAGAAGAGACTCTCCTGCTGGAAGCCTTTGGGCCATGCCTGCCTGATCCAAAGGTACCTATTCCTTTTCTAAAAAAACAGAATTTGCAATAGCCAGCCCAGGACTTCTCAGCTTAGTGTATGGTAGTCAGAAGAATAAGAGCATAGAAAGACCCCTCCCCCACGGAAATGACAGTTTGTCTCAGACTACTGTCTCGGCCCACTGCTATGTTTTCTTCATTCTTAAATGCATTAATCGATGTCAGAAAGAATTAATAAGGAACAATGTGTGCCAAAAACCCAGAGAAAAGGCTTAGTGGCTTCACTGGAGGACAAAAAGCAACATGAGAATTCTTGCACAACATTAGGATAAGTATTATATTGTTATAACAACATTTAATGATTTGCGTGTTGCTTTTACTATGAGAGGCAGTTTCATAAACACAATATCTCATATAATCCAGTTTATAGATGAGGAGCCAAACTCAGAGGATTAATGCATTTTATCAAAGTTAACTTGACTAATTAGTGGCATGCCAGGATGGATATGCTGGTGCTCCTGACCATAGAGAGCTACGTAAAGTATGGTGACAGGCAGGAGAAAGAACATCCACGCCATCTAGTTCATAAGAGGCTTATCCAAAGAACCAGGTTTCAAAGGAAAAACAGGCATGTAAACGTAATCCAGGCAAAGGAAACAACATGTTAATGAAAGAAATGGAGGAAGGCAGGGAGCATGAAGTGTGTTACAGGAGAGCCTCACTTGGACTTGGCTAGATATAAAGTCAGAGGTGCCTCCACAGTCTGCATTCTGGACAATGGTAAGGATGTGTTGGGGTTTGAAAAGACAATTAATGCATTTTATGAATATCCCCATCCTCTGAGCTCCAGTTTGTAAGGTATTGTCCCTTCCATGGAGGAAGTGGTCCAATGTAGTCAACCTGCCAGCAGGGCACTGTCTGATCACCCCGGGAATAATGCTATGTTGGGGACTCAGGTTGGTCTTTGCTGTTGGCAGATTTGTCACTCAGCTGTAGCTGTAGCCAGGTCAGTCCTGGGGAGTGGAAATCCATGCATAACTCCCATCTCTGCCACCATAGCCATTTTGTTCATGGGCCTATTTGGCAATGGCAAAAATGGCTGGGAAAAGAGGCCGACTGGCCACATAATGTGTCATCATATCTACTTGATTATTAAACTCTTCCTCAACTGAAGTCAGCATCTTACTGAGGATATACCAGGGAAACAAGTATCTTCACATCCTGGGTGAAGAATCTATAGACATACTTCTTCCCCAGATGTTTTTCTCACCAATTTTCCAATCACACTCTTTCCAAGTCCCTGGCCATCCAATCCATTGGCTATGGCCCATGAAGCAGTGAACAATCACACATCTAGCCATTTATCCATCCAAACAAAATGTGTGAACAAATGTGTATTATCTGAACTCCTGCCCAGGGTCAAGATTTCCCTGTACCAGTGTCTGTTAAGATTCTCATACACAGGGATTCTAATTCTGCAGCTGTTTACTTTTAGGTTGTACCTGTATACCATCAACAAGCCAGGTCCTAGTTTCTTCTTCTTCTTCAGTCAACTGCTCCTAGGGCATACTGCCTGAGTCTACAGGTATATGCATGGGAGTAGATGGCACTGTAACAGGAATAGAAACCACAGGCTTTGGAGCAACTTCTCTATGTAACTTGCTTGTACCGCAGGACCTGCTCAGTCTCATCATGTATATACCACTTCTGGTCCCTAATGGACTGCTGCTGTGCACAGCCTACTTTATGGTTTTGTGGATTAGATAATACCCAGATTGTGATGGGCAGCTCAAGTCACAGGGTTAACTCGATGGCCCACTGCCAAATGTTCAGTTTTTGCTAAGGCTCAATAGTGGCAGCTCAAGAGCTACTGTCCCTCAAAGCGAGAGTAGTTGTCTGCAGATGATAGTAAAACCTTCCTACAAAATCGCAAAGGTCTTCTCTGTGACTCACCCCTAGACGCATGCTAAAGGCTACAAACAGCATCAATATCTGCCACTGACACCTCAAGTACCATTGGGTCTGCTGGATCATATGCTTCAGGTGGTAGCAGAGACTGCACAGCAAGCTGGACCTATTGAAGAGCCTTCTCTATTCCAGGACCCACTCGACGCTAACAGATTTTCAAGTCACTTGGTATATATGCTCAAGTAACATGTCCAAGTGAAGACTGTTCTCTCTCCAGAATCCAAATAGACCTTCTAAATTTGGGCTTCATTTTTGGTGGTGGAGGCAGTCACATGCAATAACTTATCCTTAACCTCTAAAGAAATACCTCAACATGTCCCATACTACTACACTGCTAAACATTTTACTGAGGAAGAAGGCCCTTGAATTTTTGTTGGATTTACTTCTCATTCTCTGATGCGTATATATGTCTTCAACAAATCCAAAGTGGTTGCTACCTCCTGTTCCCTTGGTCCAGTTCACATAATGTCATTAATATAGTCAACCAGTGTGACATTTTGTGGAAAAGACAAGTGATCAAGGTCTCTTCAAACTAAGTTTTGGCACAGAGCTGGAGAGTCGATATATCTTTGAAGTAAAACTAAAGGTAGGCTGTTGGTCTTGCCAACTGAAAGCAAATGGCTTTTGATCCTCTTTATGGTCAGGTACCAAGCAAATGGCATTAGCTGCACACCAGGAGATGAGCTGATCTGCTCAAGTAAGGACAGCACATCTGGCAAAGTGACTGCATCAAGAGTCACCAACCATTCAAGTTTTGATAATCAACTGTCATTCTCCATAAAGCATCTGTCTTTTGTCCTGGCCAGATAGGAGAGTTAAGGGAAGAAGTAAACTGCTACCCCTGCATCTCAGTCCTTAATGGTGGCACTAACTTCTGGAGTTCACGAGATGCAATACTGTCTTCTTCTCTTCGTCCCTGGTAGAGACAACTCCAATGCCTTCCATTTGGAATTGCGAGCCATAATAACCCTCACTTCACAGGTCAGAGAACCACTGTGAGAATTCTGCCAATGTCAAAGTATTTCTAGCCCAATTATACATTCTGGAACTGGGAAATAACTACAGAATGAGTTTGGGGATGTACTAGACCTATTGTGAGTTGTACTTCAGTCAAAACTCCATTAATGATCTAACCTCCATAAACCTATAGCGAGTGGCCACAATGGTTCATGAGCTCTCCCAGAATTCGTGTCAATTCAGAACCAGTACCTAATACACCCTGAAAAGTCTGATTGTCTCCTTTTTCCCAGTATAAAAAGGTCATATGTCCCTCTAAGAAAGCACTTGAGAAAGGCTAACAGTAAAACTCTTAGGATTTTAACAAACACCCAGCTATTCCTTCATTCAAAGGGTTCTGCTTCTGCAAACTGGCTCGAGTCTGGAAAGTGGTTCACAGACCTCTTGCCACAATATGACATAACCTTTCTTTCATTTGTTTGTGACATTTTCTTGGTATACAGATCAAATAAAACTGCAGTGGACTTCTTATCTGTCTTATGACTGAAAACATCATGACCGATTAACCAGTATCAAAGATCCATACAAGCTATTCCATTATAAACATCAATTTGCCCATGCTACTCATTATAGAACAGGCATTACTGACATTGCATTGCCTATGCTGCCAATTACAATAACTAAAATCACCTTCTTTGGTCAGTCAATGCTGCCTACTTTCAGGTTCAATTAAACCCATTACATATAAATTTATCCAGCTGAGCAGCAGTCCCTGACCCCAAGGTCTGGCACAAGGAAAGGGGTGAAGACAAACCTGTTAGAATGTGTTAGTGCCCCTCCCATCATTTTGCATTTTATAGCAAGGGTTAGTGAAGGCCATATCTTCTGGGGCTTCTTATGGGGGAGGGTTGGATTTTACACAGCATGCCCACTCTAGCATGGTGATTTCCCTGAGCACTTAAATTCCTTCATCAATACTAAGTCAAGGGATATCAGACATCTCGGACTCCTTTTCAGGAGGCCATCTTTGACAAATCTTTGGGCAACTATTCAATCAGGCTCTTGACATTTTTTTTTAACTTAGTGAGCTTCCATATTAAACCTAGCATCTCCACTCAGTGGGCTGTTATCAATAAATTCAGCTTTATCTAGTTCTATGTTCCTTTCACCGTTATCCCTTACCTGTAAAATCCATTCTCATAGATATTCTCCAGACATCTGACTGAATGAACTGGCAAACTCACTAAGCTCTTTAGTGGTGTAGCACACATCTCATGAACTACACTTTTTATCTCCCATTTAGGAGCCTAACTGGCCCTAAGTCTGGTCATAGGTCTAGAGGTATTGGTGGGCCCTGGGAGACAGCAGTATTGTCTTGCCTGATATCTCCTTCAGGGAAAGTCACTGTTGGATTAACATACAATAAAGGACTAATTTCCTTATGTGGAACATCATGGCTGATTAACCAGTATCAACAATCCATACAAGCTATTCCACCATAAAAATCAATTTGCCCATGCTACTCATTATAGGACAGACATTACTTTGCCTATGCTGCCAATTGCAATCGCTAAAATCACTGTGTTTGGTGGTTCAAGGCTGCCTACTTTCAGGCTCAGTTAAACACATCACATTTAAATTCATCCAATTGAGCAGCAGTGTCTCTGACCCCAAGGTTAGGGGTCAGGAGAATGGCACATCTTATGCCAAGGGTGGAGAGATTTCTTCCTCAGAGGAAATAAATCCTTGGGCATCTAAGGTGTCAAAGTTGTCAGCCTTGGTATGACACTCTCATACGTAGCTATCCCAAGTTATAAGATCCCATTCTTCACCAATTAATGGCTCTACTATAAACCCCAACATTTCCATGTCTGGGACTTGAATTTTCCCTGTAATTCAGCCTAGCCAGGCTTAAAATGTGGGCCTTGGTTTGATTTTCTTCAGCTTGAGCTCTGTGGCTGCTGGAGAAAAGATGATCTTCCAGGGTACACTTAGAAGCCTTTTGACTGTTTATGCACATTTAGAAGCACTCAATTTTATCCCTGATTCTGTCCTTCACCATATTTTAAGATGCTAGAAGTTGGTTAATTTTATCACACAACTCATTCTTTCCCTGGGCCAATTTATCAACAGATGCTAAGAGCAACCAGTCAGCATCATTATTCTTATTTTTCCACAAATTGTCAGAAGTTTAATATTCACTAAATTAATAGTCACTAAATTCGTTGCTTCTCACAATAGGCACATATGGATAATCCGATGAATTTCTTTTAATAAGTTTATTAAATAATTTACACTATGAGTTTTTAGAGCTCTCCAAGCATCTAGAGAAGGCTTCAGTAACTGTAGATGTTAGCAAATTGGAAAGTCTATTCCAGGTACTTATATAATTCATCCTTGTAACTCTATTGCTCTAGAACCACTCTTGGCAGCAAAATCTGTATTAGTCAGAGTTCTCTGGAGAAACAGAACTGACTGAATGTATATGGTATTTACTAGAATGGGCCAGCTATCAAACAATGACTGTCCCCTAATGGGAAGTCCAAGAACCCAATAGTTGTTTAGTTCACAAGACTGGATGTCTTGACTGGTCTTCAATGCTCATTATGATCCCAAAGAAATAGGCTCGAATCTCAGTGGAGCTATCAACTGGCCAGGGATAGTGGGAGCAAGCAGGTAAAGAGCCAATGCTCCCTTCTTCCATGGCCTTTATATAGACCACCACCAGATAGACAACCACCAGAAAGTGTGATCCAGATTTAAGATGGGTTTCCCACCTCCAATAACCCAAACAAGAAAAATCTCTTACCCAACAGCTTGGCCTTTAGTTAATATCAGATATAATCAAGGCAATAACAAAAAAATAGCTATCATGCCCACGTTCCCTACAAGTCTGTCTCTACAGACTTTAGAGAGACACATGGAGCACTTTGTTTTGTTCTGTCTCTTTGTAATGTCTATACTAAGTTAAGCACTTTTATCTTACAGAGCCAGATGGAATTTGAAGCCCAGGTATTCAAAGACCCGCATGATTTCCATGATATATGATTTCCTAAATGTATTGATTTGAGTAAGTACAGAAGGAGCCACTTGAAGTTCATCTGTTCTTCTCGACCCAGGAGATGCTGTGGGGAGATTCACATCATTTGTGTGTGTTTTAGTTCAGGCTTTTTCAGATACAGTGGATTTGGCAATACATGTTGACACTGCAAAACTATTTTTACCACTTGAACTCTGTTAAGACACATACCTGTCATAAACCTCCAGATTAATCAAAGCAATGAACAAATTATATGGACACCACTTATGGGTACAAAATAGTCTTCATGTCAAAAATAGCTTGAGTGTACACTGAAATATTGTTGAAACTACAGTTTCCTTCATAGCAATCAGTGATGAGGGTGGTACTCAGAGATTATGAACATGGCAAGCAAGAGGGGCTATAGTAACATGAAGGTCAGGGGACCCTGTCTGTTGTGCTTTCTTCTATGAGGCTTTCCTTCACCAGCTAATGGGCATTGGAGGGCAAAGATTTTGTCATACACACTATCATGGCCACCACAGCAGTTAGCACTTTGCATGTAATAGGCCCTCAATAAATATTTCAGATTGGATTTGAAACCAGTAAAGTTCCATACGATTACTTCTTGTCCATGAGCAGAGAGGTCTTCTCTGTTGATGAGCCCACATTTCAGCTAATTTCTGGATGACCAGAGACGTCTGCGCTCTCCATGGGCCCAGCTTTCAATCAGTCTCTAGAGGCACATTCAGCTCCTTCATTGCCATCAAACGCCAGGGCCCTCTCTGCTATGACGTCCAGTGTCACACCACGCTAGCCTGGCTGTAGTCCATTTACCACCTCCGTATGGAATATAGTGTCATGGTTGCACGCTGCCTGGATTTCCAGTGCATAACCCACAGGGATCACGTCATATTATATTCTAAAGGGGCCTTCCAGCTATGGAATTTCGAAAGTTCCTGTCGGGGCCGTGGCCATCTTGTGGTACTGAAAGAGCTCTCCTCCCCAGGTCTCCTAAGCTCCATGTGCCCCTTGGGACTCACAGGAGAGCAACTAAAGGGGCTGACAATATGGTACCTACCCCTGAATCATACAAGCTCTAGATAATATGTCAAAAAGCAAATCCCTTTTCCTGTTATATATGCGTTACGTTTGTGCAAAGGTTATACTCTATACAGAAATTGACTATTCCTAATCAGTAGAATAAGTAATCAACCATGCTGATACATGGGGCTTTACATGAGCATTCTTTCTATGAAAGTTATAAATAATAAAACACAGTGATCTTTGTATTTCTATCATCATTCATCACTGGAAAATGTCAGCCAAAATGATGTGTAATTAAGGTATACATAACGTGTATACGTGTATTCGACTAAACAATTACTACTTAAAGTTTAGTGGGATACCTGTTAACACACATTTGTCTAGCCTAGTGCAGTCTGCCCTCGTGGTTTCAGGTGCAGTGACCGTATCTTCTGTTGAATTACTGAAATCCAGTACACCCAACACCCCCTCCTTTCCACTTATTGATGGTCACAGCTACTTACCAACCCACTTTCTGCTGCTGTGAGATTCTCAGCTTTAAGTTCACATAAAAACAAGGTTCTATAAGACTCATTTTCCCCTGGGTGGGGCATGTTGTGCTTTTGTAGTGCCCAGCTTATTCACAGTATTGCAAATTATATAAATCCTATCTTAAAGGCTGACTAACATTTCACTTCTAATGTATATGAGATACATGTATGTAGATCATGATGGCATCGTCCTTTTCTGTTTGTCTAATGGCAGACAGCGTGCTGTACCGTGAGAATGCTGTGAAATGAACACAAGACCCCGGCGTCTCTCTGAGCGATAGACTGAATTTCATTCGGTAGCTCTGTTTCCACTTCGCTGCCGTCTTTCCTGATGGCTGTCCTAATATACACCTCCACCAATGCTGTGAGGGTTCTTTTTTCCATAAACCATGAGCATAATTTTGTTAGTTGTGTATGTCCTTCTACCATTAGACACTAAAATTCCATGGAGTGTAGCAACACTGAGCTTTTCACGTATATAAAATTGTTGGCCGTTTTTATAGATTTGCAAAACACAAAGCTGGGGCCTTTCTTCAGTTTGCACTACATCTTTCTGTGCAATTGCGGTTCACTGAAAAAAAAAATCCAGAAGCTTAAGGAGACTAAAAAGCTAAAAGAATAAAATATTGATGAATACTCTGATGAGTCCTTTCAATTTTCCGAGGCCTGTCGCTGTGCACCTCTCGACGTGTGCAGCTTTGCGTGTGGTTGTGTGGAAACTGCATCTCTTCAAGATGCCGCCTTGGGAACACTTCTCAGGGTGATTAGGGTTTGTCCACCGCCTGGCTTGTCTTGCCTTCCATGTGTCAGGTCATTGTGTACAGTTAAGTTACTCTAGTGTTTGCTGTGATAGCAGCTAACGGTGAACACCCCGCAGGCCCATCTCACGTGCTTCACCGCTGGTTTTCCTGGAGTGGGTTTGGAAGTGAATCACTGCACTGAGGTCATGTGTGGTCCCGTGGCTCTCACAGAGCTGCTCCTGGTCTAGAGACCATCAGTCTCATCACTGGTAAGAGCGGTCTTCCCACTTCCTCTCCATGGGTGATTTGTGTCATTGGTTTTACCACGATAGCTGTTTGCTTTCTGCTGCTGTGATAAAGACCATGGCCAAAATCAACTTGGGAAGGAAAAGAACCTGGAGGGAAGAACTGAAACGGAAACCGTGGAGGATGCTGCTTACTTGCTCCTCGCGGCTTGCTCGACCTAATTTCTTATATCACCCTGAGACACCAGCCCAGGAGTAGCACTGCCCACAGTGAGTTAGGCCCTGTTACGTCAATCATTCAACAACAACAAAAAAGTGTCTCACAGACATGCCTATAGGTTTATTTTATGGATTTTATTTTTCCTGTCCTGGTTCCAGGTGACACTGTTTTGGTCAAGTGGACCAAAGGATAAACAGCACACTGCATCAAAATTTTTATTGGCTGTGTATTAAGTTCCATGTGAATAACCCTCCTTTTATATAATGTTGTTTAAATCTAAAAAAAAAAAAAAACACGAATAAAAAGAGTAAACAAAGTCAGCGCATCTTCAGATGATGCTGACACATGACTCAAAGAGCATATAGGTTTTGTCCATTGACTTCCCAATACGCATGGAAGCACAGCCTCGGTGCTCCCATCCCCATGTGAATAAAACTTTCCCTTGCTACTGTGTCAAAGTTATTGGAATATCTTAATTTCATTGCTGTGGCAACTCCAGTGATTTCAAAAGACATCTCCTTTGATACTAGGCATATCTAAACACACAGAGTTCTTTGGTGGACCAGCTGTCTCCCTTCTGGCCCATCCTGAGCCATCGTTCCATGCTGCTGAGCTTGACTTGAGTTACTACTGAAGCACAGCCAGTGTTCAGGCTAGTCCCCTGCCTGCCCTGGGGTTACTGAGTTGGGATAATGGAGAGCATTTACAACTAGACAGGTTAGGGTATCATTATTTGCTGGGGTCCTTAAAAACTTTCGCTTTTCTATTCCTGCCCCTCTAAGATAAACACACACCATCCAACAAGCAGTACAGAGACTTTGTTTGGGAAAGTACTTTTTGGTACCTACAGGATTTGAAAACCACCACCAAAAACTGGTAGCCCTGCATTCTTCCCCACAGGTATCTCTGTGGACAAGACAGTACTTGTAGGAAACTAGGCCTGCAATTGCTCACTCCGTGAAGTCATCCAATATGCATTAGGTTACCACTTTGTGCACTACAGGAAGAGTTGCTGTGGTCTAAATCAGTTGTCTGGCCTCTCATCTTTTGTGTAAATGATGACCTCACCCCAGGCATTGGCTGTATCATTACCTGTCATGGGGTCATGGTTGATGACCCCTCCCTTCCGACACATACATCCGTTTAAACCGAATGTTGATAAGAGGAGTTAAAATCAAATATGATAAAAAGCATGGTGAATAAGTTCCTCAGCTGAGATCGTAGTGGCTCCTCAGGAATCCTAATTCTTGCCAGTGCTAATGGTCAGTTATCATCAACTTTGACCAGAAGTTTGGGGTTTACGCTGTAGGCAGAAGAGAAGAGAAAGAGAGAGAGATAGAGAGGCAGAGCTCTGTAACCAGCCCAATCACACATGGAGCACATCTCAGGGAACATGCCTATTTCATGGGGGAATGTGAAAGCCATCACACTGAGATGCTTTGGCCAGGATAGCATCACCCTGGGCAGCAGATGATAATTTATAGCTTCATATGTATCTCTTGCCTCCTACCTTGTTCTCCAAGAGAATATTATCCCCCTAAGACACAGATCCTCTTGTTTACCTTTATTTTCCTCCTGACGGCTCAATTCCGCACTGGCCCTATTATGTGGCCCTTCACAGGCAGGCTCACTGGAGTGGGAGCTTGTCAACTTAATAAGTATTTGAATGAAATACAATCTGCTTTTCCCTTAAAGTGAGGTGCAGCTTCCAATCATCTGTCCACAAGTGGTGGGATACTGAGGCCTTTGCAACTAGGCGATGTATCACATGAACTCTGGAACAATGAATGGCCCACGAGGCTGAAAGTAGAGCATACTGATGTCCTCTTGGGAGCTAGAACCTTCTGGGAGGAACACCTGCTACTTCTATTAGCAGAGAAGTACAGAACAGACTAGAATACACAAACCATTGGAGAAATGTTTCTTGGTGAGTGCTTCATAAATATGCCAAAGGCAGAAATGAACTAGAGGCAGCCCGCAGCCTCAACTATGCGTTCTGATCCACATCATCTCATCCATTTCCCACGACTAACAGGTAAGGGTTAACATTATTGTTTGCTTTCGGACACAGATTGAGGAAACCGGTCTTAAGAAAATCTAGAAATTTGATATTTATCCACGACTGGCAATGAACATGGCCAAGATTTAAGCTTTGTCAATTTCTATTGTTAAAGAAGAGCATCTGCTCCTGTAGCCTCATGCCTCCTGTGATCTTTGAGTATTCTATATTCCTGAAGAATCTTCCAATACACCCTCATGGCCACAGTTTGTCACCGCACTAAAATACGCATGCAAGGGCAGCCATTGACTCGCCCTCCCTCAGCTCCTCTTCAGACCTTCTGTTAGGAACCTAGGCACAAAGCTGGTTCTGTGCTTAACCAGGCTTCCAGATGAGGTGACTTCCATGCAGTTGTCACCAGGCTGTCCCCACCTTGGTGAATCCAAAGACAGTCACCTGATCATGAAAAGAGAAGATAGGCTGGGCCATTGCTGAATTATGAAAAGAATAGAGAATTTAAGTTGGGCTCCTCTATTGGAGGACAGGGAATATTCCTTTATGGTCAATTATTGGTGATAACGGGGATTATATCTGGAGAGGACGGTGACAAAAACAAGAGGCTTTGAGAACTAACTGGAAAACACAAGAAACTATGGCATGGTGTTTACTACATTCCAAAAAAAACTGCTAATGAATATAGTTTAAAGCTAAATTCAACCTTTAATGTGTCACCGAGGGTGTAGCTCAGTGGTAGAACGCTTCCCTAGAATGCACGAGGCCTTGGGTTGAATTCTCGCTACAAACAAAACAAAACAAAAAACTAAAATAGGTCAAAATGATTAAACTGCTTTTTGCACTTACCCCAGTGTATATTACAGACAAAGTTTGATTTGTGTGAAAGCATATAAACCTAAAACCTCACACGAACTTGTACACAGTTAGTGAATGCCAGGGAATCTCTATGCAGTCTCTGTGCTGTTGTCTTAACCAGGTAGTATGCATCCGAACAAGTGGAATGAAAGTCACCGCGCTTCATGGGTTTCTAATTACTTGATGCTGTATTTTAGTCATTTAAATGAGGAAGAGCACCCAACAGCCCTGGTACACTGTCTGGTATCCACCAAGAAGTGAGCAGACTCCCCATTTCCAGGTCCCTGGAATCAGGTCTGAATTTCCACATGATTTGTGCTCACTTCTGCCACTGCAACTGAAGACAATACTAAATGGAAAAAGAAAGTGCAAAAAGGTTTCTTCCTGCTTTCAAAGAATGCAGTGGAGGAAACCACAGAGCGGCTGTCTTATAAAAGACATGGAAAGGAAGACAGAGCAGAAAGGGAGAAGGCAAACGATGGGGCAGGGATTATGAGGAAAAGGTTGAGAAAAACCCATGGTTTTCTTGCATGACTTTTCTTTTAAAGAGCAGTGGGAGAGAAGAGCTAAAGTGCCACTTTTCTGTGTCTTTCATGGCTGCATGATTAGAGGGCATCAGGTGGCTGGAACGACAAGCTGGCCTCTCAAGGCTGTGGAGCAGGGCAGAGGAGGTGGAATGGGGCAGCAGGATGTAGAGCAGGCCAGGGCCTGTACCGAGTCCCAGGTATGTGCTGAGAGGCAGGCGCTGGCCCACAGCAGGTGCAGCACAGCCAGTGCCGAGCGGCCTCAGGAAAGGAAAACCTGCAGGTGCAGTCAGGACATGCCCTAAGCCTCCCCAGCCACGTGATTTTTCTGAATAGCTGTCCCATCCTCATTGTCTGTCTGCAAGATTATGGTTTGCAGTGGGAGGAGATGCAGGAGAGGGAGTGGTTTGGTGGAGTCTCCAGTCCTGGCAGCTTTGATGACACATAGGCTGTTGCAGAGTTTGGGGGTGTCTGAGGGGGTGCAACGGATTCAGACTCTCTGACAAGTTGACCTGGCTTAGGCCATAGTGATGGAGATGTCCCATATTATCTGCTATGCAAAGCACCCCCCCCCCATTAACCCGTGGCTGTGAAACACAGGACAGAATGCCATCTTCCTCTGACCTGGGCGATGCTCACTGTCTTCCACGCCCAAGACTCTGTCTTGTAACCCTACTCACTGCCCACAGTTCTGAGAATTTCCTGTGACTTCCTGAACTCTCTTTGTGTATCCAAGGAAGAACTGGGTCTAGCTGCAGACGGAGGGTTTCAGGACATTTGTGTCTGTGTGAAAGGGCCAGGGTTCCCTCAGACTCATCCCTTCTTCCCTGGGCTTCCATTTACCCCCTCTGCATACTTTCCTGGCTGCCTCAATCCAGTGGAGGAGCACACAGTGCAACCTTCCAGAGCTGCTTCAGGGGAGAACGTAAGAGTATGATACCTTGGGAAATAAACAACTCATGCTGGGAAAAATGATCAAGAAGGATAACAACCTAAGAGCTGACCCCCATGATGGAGAGTGGGAGGGAAGGAGAGATGAGAGGGAAGGAAAAAGAGATGGGGAGGACAGAGAGAAAGAACGAGATAAAGAAATAAACCCTGCCTCTGGTCACAGGAAACCAAAGGTGGATGAACTGTTCTAAGCTTCAGGTGAGCCAGGTCTATGACACCTTCGTTTCCCCTCCCGCTGGAGCAGCTGCCTGTGCTGGGAGCTTCAAATTTGCACCCTGCTTTTTTTTTTTTTGAACCCCACCCTCATGACTAGATCTGAGCAAGACTTCCTTAGCATCATTCTAGGGGCTGAGTACCCTCCCCCAACCCCAGATGACTAATCTCAACCCAGCCTACAGCCTTGGGGCACAGGCCCAGCAGCCTGGCGAGACCACAGCCCTCTTCAAGTGCCTTGAGCACTGAATGCCTTGCCTTACACACATAGCTGTAGTGTTTGCTGTGGAATTGGGAGTTTCATCAGAATACCAGTCATGGAAAGGAAGTTTAAAGTGATTAGAATAAAAACACTTTTAAAAGGGGGCTGATATAGACAAGATTCTCTGGAAACACTAGCTTCCATGACTATTAAGTGGAGATATTTCTCATGTAAAGATCTGTGTGCTTTGGCGTATTTCAGTGTT